TATATATATATATATATATATATACAAATCTGACTTAGAAGGAAAAGTCTCCTTGGGTTCAGGAAGGCTGCGATTCTCATCTGTCAACAGTAAATGGTGGAAACTGATATCCGAGGAAGAATATGATCTGGGCTGCTAATAGGTAATCTTGGTACATTCCCTTTAATTATGGCATGAGCTTTCGGATGGCATCGTATAGAACTGGGTGTGACTGGTCATTCAAGTTCTCAGTTCAAAGCAATTGTTCCTTAAAGCTCTTCAGCCTGCACTTTGTAAAATGATCACTCTCTGCATCAGGGGTAGGCAACCTTGGCACTCCAGCTGTTGTGGACCTGCAAGTCCTATGGCTCTCCAGTTGTTGTGGAATTATGACTCCCATGGCTATTCAGCTGTTGTGGACCTGCAAGTCCTATGGCTCTCCAGTTGTGGAATTATGAGTCCCGTGGCTATTCAGCTGTTGTGGACCTGCAAGTCCTATGGCTATTCAGCTGTTGTGGACCTGCAAGTCCTATGGCTATTCAGCTGTTGTGGACCTACAAGTCCTATGGCTATTCAGCTGTTGTGGACCTACAAGTCCTATGGCTCTCCAGTTGTTGTGGAATTATGAGTCCCATGGCTATTCAGCTGTTGTGGAACTACAAGTCCCAATGACAAGACTCTTGACAGCCCTAGGCATGACTCGTAGGGGCATGAAGAGATTTGTGGTTTGACCACAGCTGGAGTGCTGAGGTTGCCTACCCTTGATCTCTACTTTTAAAAATAGGTCTATTAATGTTTAGAATCATTTACTGCTTTGCATATAAATTTGCTGTTGGCTTTAAAAATGGGACAGTGTAATGTGTTTTACCAGAGAATTTGATTAAGCCATGGGTGTGTTTCAGTGCAAGCTTTATATGTTTACAAATTTGCATAATTATGTGCTTCTGTCTTGAAGGCAGATGTGGGTGATAAAATACTGACTGTTTATGCCATAACCAAGTGCACTAGTTCCACATCTTGCTGCTTATTGGTCAGTCCTGAAGTTCTATTTAATGTCCCTTTGCCCTTGTGGTAGCTGCTATGTTATTGTTATGCAGTTAAGTATTGCAGTAGACCTTTGTGACTGTGAACATCTTACTGCCCGCCGAACGCTAGCAGGAGTCTGAATGGTTAGTGCCGCAATAAGCGCACACATATCAAAGACTGGAAAATTAACCATGCTTATGTATGTAGGTATGGGACCTTTTATCCAGGAAGCACTTACCCAAAATGCTCCAATAGCTACAGCTCATTTTCTCCATAATGCACACACATTCACCTGGCTATAAAGGATTCCTGCTACATTGGTTATAGAGTACAACTTGTTGTCACTGAAACTTCTTGCCATAAAATGTTATTTGGGAAGGTGCCCCTATTCCTCTTTGATATGCTACATTTTCCGGATCCAAGGCATTTTGGATATAAGATCCCATACCTGCATTTAAGCACAATAATAAAACCATAGTGCTTTACAAAACAATGCAATGTTACATAGATAGGAAATTGTGAGATCGGGTCAAGTCTATTAATGTGTTTCTTTGACATTTTATTATTGTCACCAAAAGTTCAATATTCTGCTGTGTTTACCAATCTGTGCAATAAAATGGTACAAGCTATTGTATTTTATGTAATATACGTTTAAACAATGATTGCAGTGTGGGGAATACGTGTATGTATTAAGCATTGTCTGTAATGCATTAAAAACACCCATTTTTTTTCTTTTATACCTGTTTTGGAGTCTTTTTTTTTATTATTTCGATTTATTGGATGGTGATATACATAAAACACAGTACATTAACAAGGGACAGATTATCAGTGCAGTCCGTTTTGGAGTCTTTAATCAAAATAATCACCTTCACTAATGGTGGTAAATGTATAAATTACTGAGGGCCACTCGTGCACACCAACACTTCTAGACGGCTGAACAATAGTAGCTAATTTTGATAGGCATTGCAGCCAATTCACAATGAGTGAGCTGTAATACACTTCAACACCTGAAAATGTCAATCCTTGCTCTATTGTTTACCACAATGCACACTGAAGAGAATGTCGGTGTAAACATAAGCCCCATAGTTGGCATGAATGCCTACAATAGTAACCCCCAGCATTATTCTCAGTGGATTCACTAATAGCCCCCTGCAATGGCGTCAAGGTCTGCAATAATAACCCCCCAGCATTGGTGTCAGTGACTGCAGTAATAACCCCCAGCATGTGTCAGGGGCAGCAGTAATAACCCCCATCATTGGTGT